TTGACAGTGGAAATAGTATAAAAATAGGCTGCCCTTAATCCGAGATCAAGAGTTCAATCAGAGTGAATCCAGAGGCATCCTTTTCAGGTAACTTGGGGTGGCCAGGAAAAACAAAGCCTGAGTGATTTACAGACTTAGCAATCCGATAGATAATGTACAGAAAGAAAATTGAAAATCAAGCAGAAAATAGGCATAATATTGTGGTTTTTAACACTGTTCATTAGTGCTCTACGTATTTGTGTAACTCAAAGTGATAACTGAAGAGGAAATGTGTTCTTCTGAGTTGGCATTTCATTCTAAATATAATAGAGGAAGGTGTTTTTACCAATCTTGTTTTGGTGTGTCTTGTAGTGTTGTAGTTTGTTTTCAAATTGCAACTAAAAGGCAGCTGTGGAACACATATTTTGTACAGGAATCCCACTTCTGTAACACTCCAATGCAAGGCTGGGGGTGTGCTTTATTGTTCAAGCTGCTGTTCTTTGGATAAGGCGTTAAACTGCGGCCCAGTCTGCCTCTGTTCAGTTGGACGTTAAAGATCCCATGTCACTATTCAAAAGGAGAAGGGATTTTGTCCTGTTGTCCTGGCCAACTGTCCCCCAAATCAATAAAATTGGTCATTCACTTCATAGTTGTTTGTCAGACATTGCAGTACATAAATTGGCTACTCGTTTGCCCACAATACAGACAGTCAATGCACTTTACAGTATATCCTGTGAAACGCTTTGGGACGTCCTTCTGATGTGAAGGCAATATCCCTAATTTAAGGATTGTTAGCCTTAGTAGTACAAGTTCCATGTAAATTAACCTTTCCTCGACTGCCTGTAAGCAACAGAAACAAAAGAGATGAAAAAAACAATAAGTAAATTGATAAATCTCTCTACAACATTAAAGGGTTAGGAGCATTTAAGTAGGCTGTACATCCCCATAGAAAAAATACAAAAATATGAGGAAATGTGTAGATTTCAAAAACGAAAAACTTATTTTTAAAAAAGGAAGTGAGTTTTACTAAATTGACAAATATTGAGTGCTATAAAAGAAGACACATGTGCTCTCTGTGGCATTACACATTTTCCCTAAATTAAAATGTGAAAATGTGTATTGCCACAGAGAGCATAAGTGTCTTCTTTTATAGCACTTAATATTTGTCAACTTAGTAAAACTCACTTGCTTTTTTAAAAAAAGAAGTTTTTTTTCGTTTTTGTGTGATTGAATCGTAGTGAAATCTACACATTTCCTCATATTTTTGTACTACAACAGTGCACAACATGGTAAACATAATAAACAGATGTTTTACTAATAATGTGTTGATTACATATACAATCAACATATAAACCTTTGTTGGGATTCATGTAACTGATACAATGCCAACCTTGCAACAATATTATACAATGCAGTTCAGTTTATATTTATAAATCTTTCACGTCAGGAGGAATATCCTTCCTCTTAGAATCAATTGAATCGCTTGACAGGACTGGAAACAGGAAGATAGGAGGTTTGCAACTGTTAAAGAGTAACAGCTGCAAAATTCCTGACTGGGTTTATCTTGTAATGCATAGCACTAGGTGGAGCACATGTACTTAAAGAAAATCTTTATACTACTGACAGTACTTTTACAATCGATTTATTTTAATCAATAAACTGCTGAATTTTAAAAAAAATCAGTTTAGTAGTTCACTAGATTTTGAGAGTATGTGATTTTCTGTACCGTTGTGGATAATTCAATAAATTACTAACTATTTTCAGATTGCTCAGCTCTATTAATTCATTATATGTCATGGGATTTGTTCGTGACCTAAAACTAGTTTGATTTATCATCATATTAAAAACACCTCTTCTCCACGTTTTGCATTGAAAACTAATATAACGATCCTTGTATTTGGCATCGCCTCTTTTACTTCGGGAAGTTGGTATCAAAGTGCTTCACTGTTCTCTTCAATTTCATGAAACATGATAAACCCAGTCAACATAGTTTTTCGCCTACAAAATACAACACCAGAAAGATAACAAGAACACGTTTGCTCGGAGCTCAGATCTCTCATATGGACAAAAATATGGCAATAACACAAAAGTATTAAGGCGACACCTTTCACAACAAAAATAATGTCAGAAAGTATAGAACTGGTAAAATGGTAATTGCAGGCTAGTCTTTGGAATTGTGAAACGATTTGCTGCAAATAGTTCACACTGCACAAAACTTCATACTTTCGAAATGGGGCCCCGAAAAGTTTTAATTTGCAAAAAAAAACGTGCCCCTGATCCCTCTTAGCAACAAAGTGCAAAATGCAAAACACAATTTCACTCCTTCACCTACAAGTTGCTGTGCCATCGGTTCGCAATTCTGCGATCTCGTCACATTTTTTTTTCACGCACACACACCGTTGCCGTCGGCTCTGTGCGTTGTGCCTTCAGATCACACGAAGTCTTGGGATTATTGATCGATTATTGCTCAATGCATCCGAAAACCCAAGTGTTTGATAGCTCGGGATGGGAAACACAATGCGAGACAACGTGTAATAATAATAATAATAATCCTTGCATTTGATATAGCGCTTTTCACGTCAGGAGGACGTCCCAAAGCGCTTCACAGAACACACTGTAAAGTGAATTGACTGTATATTTGTGGGCGAACGCGGCAGCCAATTGCGCACAGCAATGTCCCACAAACAGTCGTAGATTGAAAATGACCAATTTATTATTGTTTTTGGTTTTGGAGGGATTATTATTAGGCTCTGTGTGGAGTAAGGAAACTTGCCCAAGGTTTCGCCCTCTGCCTGGAATTGAACTCAGGTCTCTCGCTTGCAAAGTGAATGCTCTAACCACTGAGCTACAGGACTCCACTGTGTAGGTGTTGGGCTGTGTTTAGAGAGACCCGGGGAGCTGCAGTAACAGCACGACCCGGAGAGGCGACAGCAGCTGCTGGGACTGAAGGAATGAACCGGACGAGTCCTGGTCCCGATGATCAGCGCTCCTGGAAATAGAAAATAACCTGTTGAGAGCCGCGCAGGTTCTCGCGGGTCCCACTGGCAGAGCTGATGCTACTCACTGACTCACTGACTGCCCTGTTCCAGGTTATTATCGCTGTGCACTCTTCTGAGTTCCAGCTCAGCCCCTGTGAAAGCGCACAGCAAACAAACCACACACAGCGCAGCACATAAATGCCCCCAGTTTTTGTGGACCAACATTGTGCAGTAACACTTCCCGGCGGGAGAGAGGGAGGGAGGGAGTGAGTGGGTGAGTGGGTGGATCAGAGTCCATTCCCTGTCTCCCACACGATTCTTTCGTGGCAACTGCACGATTTCACAACCCGACAATCCGGACTGAGATCCCGGTGTTCGTGCATCTCCGGGGCCCACACAAACCAGTTGCAAAGTCCTTTTTTTTTGCGATTAAAAAAAAGGAGCCTGGTGCAAAGGTTCAAACACACACTGCAAGTTCTTTTTTTTTGGAGGGCGGGGGGCGAACGAGGGGAAAGAATGCAAAAAAAAAAGTGTCTTTTGAAAGCTATTTAAATCCCACGCAGACCCTCCCCGCACTCTCCCACCCCAACCCCCACCACCTCCCCTGGTGGTTCGGCCCCAGGCGGTGCAGAAGGAGAAGCAAAGTACACAGCCTGCGCTTGTGTTGCTCCACACCCTCTGCTGGGGGCCGGTGTGGGGGAGGGAGACCTGTCCTATTTTGGTAATGGGACGGCCCCTCAGCTGCAGTGGGGACTGATCAGCGACTCACCCACTCACACACACACACACACATATGGACACGGAAATACTGTAGTCATCGCGAAGCACAGGGCCACACGTCCTGTGCCAGTGTGTGTGAGTGAGTGAGTGTCTGCGCATCGCATCGCTGCAGCTGAATTCTTTCCCCCTTTTTTTCTTTACTGTGTGTGGCTTCGAAATCGCTTTGCAATCGCCGCGGAGCAGAAGATGCAGCGGCAGCAGTAACCCGTGGAGCTGGAAAGCGTGCGGCAGAGTGGCCGACAGCCCAGGCAGGGCAGGCAAGGCAGCCCGGGCAGGGCAGGCAGGGCAAGGCAGCCCAGGCAGGGCAGGGCAGCCCGGGCAGGGCAGGCAGGGCAAGGCAGCCCGGGCAGGGCAGGCAGGGCAGGCAGGGCAAGGCAGGGCAAGGCAGCCCGGGCAGGGCAAGGCAGCCCAGGCAGGGCAGGGCAGGGCAAGGCAGCCCGGGCAGGGCAAGGCAGGCAGGACAAGGCAGCCCGGGCAGGGCAAGGCAACCCAGGCAGGGCAGGCAGGGCAAGGCAGCCCGGGCAGGGCAGGGCAAGGCAGCCCAGGCAGGGCAAGGCAGCCCAGGCAGGGCAAGGCAGCCCAGGCAGGGCAAGGCAGCCCAGGCAGGGCAAGGCAGCCCAGGCAGGGCAGGCAGGGCAAGGCAGCCCAGGCAGGGCAGGCAACCCAGGCAGGGCAGGCAGGGCAAGGCAGCCCAGGCAGGGCAAGGCAGGGCAGGCAACCCAGGCAGGGCAGGCAGGGCAAGGCAGCCCAGGCAGGGCAAGGCAGCCCAGGCAGGGCAAGGCAGGGCAGGCAGCCCAGGGCAGGGCAAGGCAGCCAGGGCAGGCAGGGCAAGCCTGTTGCAGAGCTGCTGCTGAGCTGCTGCCGCTCTGACCATGAGCCTGGACGGGGAGGCGGTGGGGACGGACACCGAAGGCGGCGTCACCCTCCCGGTGCCGCTGCTCTGCTGCTCGCCCCCGGCCAGCCCCGGGGGGCCAGGCGGCGGGGGCGGGGGCGGGGGCGGGGGGGGCGGTGTGCCCGCCGGCACTCCCTGGCAGGAGCAGCAGCAGCAGCAGCAGCCGGTGCCGGCGGCGGCGCCGTGCCCTCGGCTCCGGGGTCGGGTGACCACGGTGGTGTATGTGGTGAACGAGGCGCCTCAGGTCCAGGCGGCGGAGAGTCTGGCGCTGCAGTGTCTGCGGGAGGCGTGTGACAGCGCCAGCGCCGCCCTACACACTGTGCCGTTTGGGAAGCTGGACTTCGGGGAGACCGCGGTCCTGGACTCCTTTTATAATGCAGGTGAGTGAGGGGTTGGGGGGGGGGAGGGTCTGAGATACTGGTGCGGGACAGACCGGTTATTGGGGAGGGGGATGCAATGCACTATTGTAGGGTGAGTGAGACAGGGCATGTGGGGGTGTGGGGGGGGGTCCTGCTCCCCACGAACAGTAATAATAATAATCCTTGCATTTGATATAGTGCTTTTCACGTCGGGAGGACGTCCCAAAGCGCTTCACAGAATATACTGTAAAGTGAATTGACTGTATATTTGTGGGCGAACGCGGCAGCCAATTGCGCACAGCAATGTCCCACAAACAGTCGTGGATTAAAAATGACCAATTTTATTATTGTTTTTGGTTTTGGAGGGATTATTATTAGGCTCTGTGTGGAGTAAGGAAACTTGCCCAAGGTTTCGCCCTCTGCCTGGAATTGAACTCAGGTCTCTCGCTTGCAAAGCGAGTGCTCTAACCACTGAGCTACAGGACTCCGCAATCCGAATTCCGCAGTACCTGCAATCCGAATTCCTGTTGCAAGTTACTCTCTTGGCCTCTCGTATCGATCTGGAACTTTACGCAGCGTTTCACTGGAATGACAACGATCCTGGGGGGTGGGGGGGTGGGGGGGGGTGGGGCGGAGGGGGTTTAAAAAAAGAAACCCCCACTTCTTTTCTTGTACCTGCGCTGTTTTCGTTTCTGGATCTTGCACAATGAATGCCAACATCCACTTCAGCTCCAGCTTCTAACTTCCTGAAAACTATTTTGCAAAGAATTTGAGGTTTCGTGGGGAATGTGGAGAGCAACATCTTTTAACATGTGGTTTCCAGCATTTTGTGGAGTCCTGTAGCTCAGTGGTTAGAGCACTCGCTTTGGAAGCGAGAGACCTGAGTTCAATTCCAGGCAGAGCGAAACCTTGGGCAAGTTTCCTTACTCCACACAGAGCCTAATAATAATCCCTCCAAAACCAAAAACAATAATAAATTGGGCTTTTTCAATCTACCACTGTTTGTGGGACATTGCTGTGCGCAATTGGCTGCCGCGTTCGCCCACAAATATACAGTCGATTCACTTTACAGTGTGTTCTGTGAAGCGCTTTGGGACGTCCTCCCGACGTGAAAAGCGCTATATCAAATGCAAGGATTATTTTATTTTCAATAACCTTTGACGTTTTTGAACCTTTGCAAGTTAATTGGTGTGACTCGGTTTGCTTCAGTGGCTGGTTGCATTTCGTTGAATAACCATCATTTTATCTGAACGGTATCGATTTGAAACTTAAGAGATGCCACTGTTATATGTTTTGTTTCACTTGCTGCCAGATGTTTTATGCATGACCTATCGTTGCTCCTCAGACATGTTTACATACTCAGTGACACTCATACTTGTTACACTGGAATGGCATGCAGTAAAACCTTCGCAGTAAAGTTAATTGTGGTCCTGTTTTAGATGTAGCATCAGAAATAAGTGGAAAGTACAATAACGTTGTTCATACCAACTAGTAATTGCCCTGGAGCTGAGCTGAGCTGGCTCCAAGGTGACGTGTTTGCAGGTCCACAATACTCCCAAGGCATTGCTGATGACAGCACAGCCAACCTGACTCATTGGCAGGACCTGGAAAGGCAGAATGTGGGTAGTAATTCTTCCTCCTCAGCCCCTGTTACCCTACAAAGCTTTAAATTGTTTACAAAATAGTTTTCAGGAAGTTAGAACCTGGAGATGAAGTGGATGTTGGCATTTATTGTGCAAGATCCATAAACGAAAACAGTGCGCAGGTACAAGAAAAGAAATGTTTTTTTAAAAAAAACACCCCCCCAGGATTGTTGTCATTCCAGTGAAATGCTGCGTAAAGTTCCAGATCGATTCGAGAGGCCAAGAGGTAACTTGCAACAGGAATTCGGATAAGCTTGTCAGATAGGGCTATGTGGATTTAGCTGTTTAAGCTTCATCCGTACCCCAACGCATACTCTGGGGTCCCAACCGTGGCTCTTACAACAGCAAAATTACATGTGTATAGCGCCTTTCACGTTGAGAGGACGTCCCAAGGCGCTGGACAGACAGAGTTTCGGACCCGAGCTCAGGGTCGGGGAGGGTCAAGGGGGAAGCAGGGAGATCGAAACCACGGTTGAAGCGGAGGGTCTTGAGATGGGTCTTGAAGGAGGCAAGGTAGGAGGCGAGGCGGAGGGCCTGCGGGATGGAGTTCCAGACGGTGGGGCAGTGTGGCTGAAGGCCCAACCGTCAATCGTGGGGTGAGGTGAAGCAGGCGGCGGGGGTGAAGCAGGCTGGAGGGAGGGAGGAGTTGGGGAGGCAATAAGGAAGGAGTTTAACTAGTCAAGCCTCGATGTAATGAAAGCATGTATGAGGGTTTCGGTGGCCTGCGATGTGAGACAGTGGCAGAGCCGGGCGACGTTGTGGAGGTGGGGGAAGGCAGAGCGGATCATGGCGCAGATGTGGGGTAGAAAGTATAATTGAGGGTCAAACAAGATGCCAAGGTTCCGGACTGGCTTAGCCACCTTTGCTTATTATTCTCCGATTTTAGGGAAGCAGGATGTCTCCCTCCTGGGATTCAACATGTATTCCATTTCAAACACAGGAATTTCCATGTGTAATTGTAATACATGGAACCCTGCTGGTTTGGATACTCTTAAGCATGGTGATGGTTTCTGACCAAAAACCAAAATTGTTCATAGAAAATTACTCAGTATTATATTCAGGTTATTTGGTGCTTAATTTATTGGCAAGATACTGTGTCAAAAGAAATTAGTGTATAGAATGCCATCTTTCTGCATTCTTGGAAGTTGTATTGAAACCATGCCTCGCTTCGGGCCTTTGTCTTGTGTTTATGGAGCTATGGGAATACTTGTACCAAGGTTATCAGATACAGTGAGCTGTGTTTGCATGTATGATAATGATCAATAACTTGGGGCTAGATCTTTATCAATGGCTGGACAAACTCTATTCTGGCATAATGCTTTTACCGATCACCAACGTAGAAGATCAAATTCCATTTGATTTCAGTGCAGACCCAAAATCCTGAAGCTTTGATTCTCTTCCTGTTTTAAAATAAATAGTGATGGCCAATGGAATGTGAGAGGCCTGGAAGATTCTGACTATAGTACATTTTGGTTGATTTTTCAGTTAACATCTAGTTACTGCACCTTTTCAGATCTGACTCGTAAAGAGTCAGTTTTATTCACTTATTACAATCTGGTGCACTGTGCAAGAACCCATAGTAACTTTGGCCAAATGCCATTCTTTAAAATATTTGATTAAGGCAGCATATGGTTACATGATTAATATGGCTTCTACCACAACACCACACTGACACAGGAGCATACAAATTAGATCACAAAAGGAGCCGGTTAGGCCAACAGAACATAATGCTGATGGTAACTCCCCCACTCCAGCTAACTGCTGTAATCCCAAGTCTTTCCTTTTTATTTGTTTCTCTTCAAATTTACATCCATTTCCCTTTTTAAAGCTTTAGAGTCTCAGCACCATTGGACTGGATTAGCAAAGCAAATCATGTTCTTTTTAATAACTTGCTGCTTGAAATGTTTCTTCTAATCACTCCCTTAACTTTATCAGCAATAATCCTGCATTCATGCCTCTTTGTTTCCCATTTACCAACCACTGGGAATAATCTTTCATTATTCTCTAAAATCCTTTCCGAATTTAAATTCAGAACATCCTTTCTTGCCTTTCCCTGTTCCAATGAAAATTACCTTCATTTTCAGGACTATTTTATAATTACAAACACTCATCCTATTATCATTGTTGTATTTCATTATCTGGATTGTCAATTTTTTATAGTTTTGTGTGGAGTCATGAGTGAGAGACCAGACATGGGGCTTAAACCTGGAATATTCTGACCCAGAAACAAGCGTGCTGCCAATTGAGCCAGGCTGACGCAATTTTTTACTCTCAACTATTGTTGTATTACTATTACTGTTATCCGTATTTTTGTGTTATCTGTATCTTATTGTTTTGTCAGATTAACTTCACCCGAATTGGTGCAAACTTTTACACCAAAAGTCTTTTTTACGCAATTGTACCAACATTTTGGTGATTTGTTTTGAGGCTTTTGATGAAAAGATAGCAGAGGCAAAGAGGAGCATTGTGGTGGGTTAGTAAGAAAAAATCAGAGAATGTTGTTTCACTATTCCCCCTGCCCTCTTCCCCCAAAATTCTGGGTAAGTTTTCATCTGCTACAAGCCATGTTTGTGAAGGAACAAAATGTACACTAAGAAAAGTCTGTTTTTCTTGGCCTTTGAAAACTGCAGCTTTTGTATGGTTTATGCATATACAAGCCTGTCTGGTACATTTAACAAAATAATCCAAATTCAAGACAGACATTTATTCTGCGATTTGTAGCTCTATGATGGAGCAATCATACTGTAGATCCTTCACTCCAAATGTGAATCGCACCTTCCCCTCTACTCACAAAGTACTTCAGATGTAATTGCTGTCAAGCGTAGTGGTTATGAATTTGTAGGCAAAAGTAGCAGCTATTTACTTCAGCATTGCCCCCCACAAAGCCACAGGTGGATGAACAAGGTAGTTTCAGGTGCACTGTGTTTCTGCAGGACAAATGTAGTGAGTGTGAATTGCACTGGGCTCAACCCCCCTGAGCTCTATTGAAGTTCTCAATGTTGTTTCACAAGGTGACAGTGCTTCTTGCATCTTTGTGAATGCTACTGTATTGTATTATTAAGTCCTTTTATTGGAATAACTTCATGCTCTGAGGGAGGAACTTTGCAACTGTTATTTCCTATCCCACATCTGCATTCTTAATGATAGAATGCAAATCTACAAAAAAACAGAGGACATGAAATTATTGTGAAGTAGTTCCATGCTTTTTTTAAAAAAAGCTTCTGCATGATATAGGAAACTGGCTGTATAAAAGTTACATGATGTAAGTTGTGTGCACACTGGCCTTTCAATTGCTTCACAGACATACTGTAAATTTGCAGCACTTGGATATAGAGGACTACTGATGACAAAAACAACCCTTATAATTTTACATTATTGTG